TTTACATAGTCAGCATACTGCCTCCAACAATCTTGGTCCTCATTTTGCCAACCTCAGAAGGACGGAAGGCTGAGTCAATCTTGAGCCAATCAAGATCAAACTCCTGGCATTGGACAGAGTGAGCCTGCAATATTGCATTCTAATCACTGCGCCACCACGGCTCTTAATAGATATTGTTTGTATGAAGTGATGTATAACATATATAATGTATAACTCAGGGATATACAGGTGGTCCTCAACTTACAACTATGATTGGAACCAGAATTTCTATTGCTAAGTAATGAGGTTGATAAGTGAGCCATGCCAAATTTTATGGCATTTTTTTTTTTTTGCTATAGTTGCAGTTGTTAAGTGAATTGCACAACCATTAAGCGTATCCAGCTTTTCCCATTGACTTTGTCTGTTGGAAGCTAGCGGGGAAGACCACAAATCACAAATATGTGACCCTTGGATGCTGCAACCATTGTAAATGCATGCCAGTTGCCAAGGCCTGAATTTGTTTGATATGACTGTGGGTATACTGCAATGGTTGTGTGAGGATTGGCTGTAAATCATTTTTTTTCAGTGTTATACCTTCACACAGTCACTAAATGAATAGTTGTAAGTCAAGGACTACCTGTAAAAGATCAGACAACAATGTCATTTGGTGTCCTGCTGTCCTATTTAGATAAACAGCTTTGTGGTTATGTTTTATTGTGTTATTATATTGATTCCAGTGAGAATAATTTGCAGTATTCCAGTGTAAATTGATCTTTAAAGGAAAACATTTTTCCAGCTCTTATTTTTTGCTGTGTGGCCTTCTGATTATTTCTTTTTTGTGGCTTTGCAGCTTCAGCTGATGGCAATTCTTATTGTGTAGTCACATTGAAGCTTTTTTTTTTTTTAAAAAAAACACAACAACAACAACAAGGTAATGAGCATCTGGATATTCTCCAATGAAAGCTGAGCATAACTACTTAGGCTGCCTCAATAATTGAATGAGTAAATTGGCATAAATAAATAAATTAGCATACACTTAGCACAAAGGATCATGATATTTTATATTAAGTCAGTAACACTTGTCCGATAAGATAATTCTGTAAGAATGGTGAATTGGTCACTATCTGCAATGCTAACACTGTAGTCATTTCTCTGTATGTGTTCCTTTCCTACTGTTACAAGAAATAAATTCAGTGTTTTTCCCTTCCCTGTGCTGAAAGAGAAATTTACAAGGTCAGGATAAAGAAGAAAGCCTATAAAGATGAGCTATGGATTTCTGCAGGTGCAGATTTGATTCCTTTGCAGGGAGGTCTAAGTTAACAACTGCCTCTTGTGATGGTGTTGAAAAAGATTTACAACCCATCCTCAATCTTGTAGCTGTCTAGATTCTGTGTGGTTGTGTGAGTGTGATTTGGGTGCTTCGATACGCTGCACATTTAGGACAGTGGCAGCATCCCAGGGTCATATGAGCACCATTTGCAACCTTCCTATCCAGCTTCTGACAAGCAAAGTCAGTGAGGAAGCTGGAAATAAGCCATGGTCATTGAGGTCACATTTGATGAACATTGTTATTTGCTTAACAATTGCAGTAGAACTAATGTCATACATTAGCATGATCATGTAATGAAGGGCTGTCAAACTCGCAATGTCACGTGATGTGTCGCGGTGTATCATGACTTTTTCCATTGCCAGCAATGGGGAGGGCACGGTTTCGGCATGACACCCCCAATGTAATGCAATGTAATGTCATGTCATGTAATGTAGTGTAATGTTTCACTTAACAGTTGCATTGCTTATAACAGAATTACTGTCTCAATTACTGTTGTTAAGTGAAGACTATCTGTATCAGGGTACCATCCAATTATCCAATTTATCTATTGGCACATAACTGGGCTAATTATTCTCATTGGGTAAAACTTATATCTGACTAAGTTAAGCAGGTCAGTGATGAGGAATCCCTTAGAGCAGTGGTGGCGAACCTATGGCAGGCGTGCCAGAGGTGGCACTGGGAGTCCTCTCTGGGCATACGCACCGTTGCTGCAGCCCCGCCTCCTCCCACATCCCCCTCCTCACCAGCAGCCCCCCGGAGGAGAGTCGCCCCCGGGCATGGCCCACGTGAAGCAGCGCAGCCCAGGACATGGTAGCTGGGCAACGGAGACAAGACTCCACCCTTGCGCCCGATCGCATGCAGATGATGCAGCAGGCATGGGCGGAGGCCGTGGCCACCATGGTGCTGCTGAGCTGCCTGGATGATCTGTGGCAGGCCATGGAGGTGGTGGATAGCCCAGCGGGCAGGGCGGAGGAAGGGCAGGGGGGCGGTTTTTGGGCACTTGGTCTCTAAAAGGTTCGCCATCACTGCCCTAGAGATTGTAGGATTTCTAGGGTGGGGCTGGACTGTCAAAAATCCACAAAACATCCTGGTGAAGACACTTCCACAATACTGCCAAGAAAATAACACAAATGCATTAGAAGGACCTGAACTCAGCTCCATAGAGATTTTTAAGTCACATTCAACTTTGTTTTGATCCTCACCTCCTCAGGCATCATCTCCTCTTTCAATAAAAACTCCAGAGACTATGATTAACCACTTGATGACTAAGTGTATGGTAATAGACAAAAAAAAAAAAAATAGAACATGAAAAATAAACAGGAAACATACTTTTACAACTGATGTTCAAACATATTTTAAAGTCAATTTGTTTACATTTTAAGTGGATTATTTTTACAGCTGAGTTTAGTGAGAAATTGAGTTGGATTTATTATTTAACAAACTTGCTTATGATTGCTTCTAAATATTTTAGTCTTAAAAATTGGCAGTTATGATAAATATATGAGAGTATATTATCTTGGGTGTTAAGGCACTGACATACTTCTGGATCCCTTGAAAGTGCATGGTTGTCCAGTGTGGGAGAATAGTTTTTACTCCCAATTATTTATTTCATAGGTTAAACATCCTTTCAGCATATTCCTTATTACTCAGTATAGTATCAGAACGTAATATCACACATATCACAGTCACATATTACCTAACATATAACACAACATGTAACATGCATCATATAACAACGTAGGAACATCATATAACAACATGTAACAATGCATTATGTTACATTACGTTACATTACATTACATTACATTACGTATATATATTTTGTCTTCTGAAACCATGGGATAGGAAGTCTTTTTTAGAGGGCTGCATTTTCTGAATGTAGCAGTGTTATTTAGCAATTTATTGGAGAAGATAATTCTCCAATGAATGTAAGGTATCATCTATGACAGGGTTCCCCAATCCCCGGTCTGTGGACCAGTACCTGGCTGTGGCATGCTAGCAACTGGTCCGCACAAACATCAAAGCCCCATCTGTGGCATGCAGGCAGCACACAACTATGCACTCTCCGGTCTGTGGAAAATCCTTTCTCCACGGAACCGGTCCCTGGTGTCCAGAAGGTTGGGGACCTCTGATCTATGAAACCTTTGCTTCAGTTATCTGCAGGACTATTCAGTTACGTTTTGTCTATCTATCCTATTAGTTATTATGTCATCTTATGGGCCGTTGGAGACATGCCATATCTGTGGCCACAATTGCTCTGTGGGATAGTTCCTCCCTTCCTGTCTTTATGGCACCCACCATGTTGTTGTAGTTCTAGGATATTATAGTTAAATTACATAGTCAGTCAGATGTTTAGGCTGGTTTTGCATTTTTATCCACCTATCAATTTCTTCAAAAGGGCCTGGATTAGATAGACGTTGTTTTATATTATTAAAGGTTTCATCACCGGATGTAATCTGCCCCAAATAAAGCTGTCTTTTGAAATTGATTTGTGGTGATTTTGTCAATGCTAATATAGTATTCAAGGGATACTCCAGATGTTTTGGGATTGTACCCAAGACCCCTATTACAATTGGTAATACTTTTGCAACAATCATTTTACTTCTATTAGCAGGTATTTATTTGTATTTTGTCATTTTCTCCATTTCTTTCTCTTCTCTTTTGTTGTCTCCACATACTGCAATCTCCACTATCCAGACTTTTCGTCTTTCTTACCAACAATTATTAAGTCTAGGCCTAGGGTTATGGGGCAGGTGCCTGTCTGTTTGAATTCTAAAGTCCCAGAGCATTTTAGCTTCTTCATTTTCTATGACTTTGTCTATTTTGTGGTCCCACCAGTCCTTGCTTGCAGACAAATGCTATTTCTTGCATATATTCCAATTCACCATTGTCATGTTGTTTGTAGTCAGTCTGTGCAATCTTGCAGCAGAGTTCAGGTTTCCATTTTGAACAGACACTGTTTATAAATGGAAGACACAAAAGTAAACAAAATGTCATTTTTGAGAGCAAGGCTGCTATTTGCAATAGAGTTTCTGCTTTGTTTTCCTCAACAGTATCTTTGGTTCTGAATTTTAGTGGCAGTTTTGGGATCTTCTAGGCATTTTATTACAAAATAAAAAGACTTGAGTGCTCTCTATGTATTCGGTCCACAACTTTATCCAGATTCTTCCATCATAAAAAAGATATCCATACACAACAAAGAGTCCTTGTTGATTCCAGCATGGAATTCAAGATGATAGCTGTCACGTCTAAGCATTGCCTGCACTCAGATTTAGATGCTATTAAAAATATAATCCCCCCTCTCCCCTTCCCTATGTCCCTCACCAGTGGGATTAATGTAATTATTGTTTTGTGAGCACAGCTCCCTATAAGTATGCCTTGGAGATTCTTACAACATTATCTATCTTTGTTTGGGGAAGGTTTGTTGGTGGCTATTACAAAATCAACTATGCCATATTCTTCAAAGCCTTGGTTTAGTAAGGTAAATGGCTAATGTATTGGGACAACATCTTTAATACTCTTGAAATATTGGCCCCTGAGCTGCCATCACCATCTCTGTAGCCTATTTTAATACTGAAATAAACCCATATTGAAAGTTAAAAACGTCAGCCTTATTCTTTAAAATCTGTCTGAGCAATTAGTCTCCTCTCTGTCACAAATTAAATTTTGCCTTTTACCCTTTATATTTTAGTACCATCTTCCTGTAATAGGAGGCTCCTAAGAGGAAACCTTCTACCTATCAATGCACGACCAATGGTAAGTCACCTAAAACGTTCTTTGTTTTTGAAGTTGTTTTAAATAAAATTGGCTTTACATATAGTCGTCACTTAATAACTACCCTATATATTGACTGTTCAGAGTCATCATGGTACTGAAAAAGTAACCAGATATTTTATTTACATTGGTTAGCATTATGATTAATTTAATTGATCCATCCATCTGTTTGTCTCCATCCATTCATCCATCTATCTATCCATCCTCTTTTTCTCTAGTATTGCTGTTAGAACTGGAAATCAGAATAGGAGGTAAAATGGAATGTTTTTACGGTGAATGGTTTATTAAAAATAGAATTAAATACATAGCAATATTAGTTAACTTCTTAAGTACTTCTGGTTTTATCCAGCTATTCATATGTTCTTTTTCAAAAGCTGTTTCAACACTTAGATTGCTGCTGTCTTTTCTTTCTCTCTTGCTTATTTATTCCTTTCTTTTATTGCCCAGAATCCTTGCTTTTTTTCCTAGTCTAGTAAAGGATGTCTGACTGTGGTATTTTAAATCTCATTGTTCTTAAAAGATGCCCAGAAGCAAAGCATTGTGATAAGGAGAGGAGATTTATTGGTGTGCCTGTGGGGAGAGAATTAATTTCAGTATAAATAATACAGTCTCAGTAATATTTAAATGTGATCTTTCACGTGAAAATGCTAAACAACAATGTCACTTTTTAAAAAACAGGGTATAGCCTATTTTCAAATAGTGGTGTCCCATCCTTATGCTTTAGCTGGTTGAGAGTGTAAAAGAAAGAATGTGTTCAAGTCATTTTAAAAGAACTTTTCTGGACACTGGCCTTTGATGTTTTCCTACAAAAGTAGAGAATATTTTGCTTTGGTTTAGCTTTTGAAGATTTCTCTCCTTATATCCTTACATATTCTCTGCCTGCAATACATTGTCATTATTGCGTACCTTCATAGCACAATAAACAGAAGGATACAAGGATTGGTTAGGTAGTGTTATTGCTGGAGGCTAACAAACGAGTCCCATTGGCCTCAATCAGAGTTGAGTGGAAAAATAAAAATACATTCTGGAAACAAGTACTGCTGTGTAACAGTGTGCCTCTCCTAGATCAACAACAATAGTGTGATTTTTCAATTGCTGCTAAGCTTGGGTTTAATGGGGCCTTGGTTTAATATGATCTGGGCATGGAATTCTGCAGTTGGCTGATCAGCAAATGCTTCAATACTATTTCCTGGTTTTAGAGAACATAGTCGGGCATGATTTTCCAATGCCAAACAATGCAAATGGCCCAAAGATTTATCAGTATGAATAGTCCTCAACTTGCATCAGCCTTGGAAAGAAATGTTCTATGGTCCATAAAAGCACATAAAACGTGTAAAATATTGTGTGAGTCCCCATTCTATCCCTGTGGTCACATGACCACATATGCAGCACTTGGCAACCCACACTCATTTATGACTAGTTGCAGCATCCCACGGTCATGTGATTTCCCTCAAGTTTATGGCATTTTTTTTTTGCTAGCTTATAGCAAAAAAAAAAAATCCACCACTTAATGGAGAATGGGTTCGCATTTATGTTTTGCTTAACAACCACCATAAAACCAATTGTAAAATTTGTGTCTGGTCACCTTGCAATGCTCAATTCTGCTCCCAATTGCAGTCATACGTCAAAGGATACCTGTAACGTAAATAGTCCCAAAGTAATCCTGGTTTTTGTTTAATTTCAAATTGTTATATACCAATCAGAACTTTGCAAAATGTAACGTGAATTGGATCTTTCTAAAGCAATTCAGTTTTAAAGATTGTACTTTACACTGGGTTTTCCCAACCTTTGGCAACTTTCAGATTTACCTCAGCAGTGGCTCTGTTTTCCTAGGAAAATTCAGGAGCTGAGGTTTAATTTGCTTAACTTGGAGATGCTGGTTTGTCTCCTTTAGAAAACAAAAAGATAGTTTCTCCTAGTTTTTGGAATTACAGTTTATGAGTATTGGTGATGGGAGAACTGCCTATGCTATGAGGAACAGCAATATAAAAAGTGATGTAAAAGTCATCTTCCTAGTCCTGAGTGCCTGGTCTGACCTTCAGTGCCTTTCTGCCAAAGAGAAGAAGGTCTTTTTCTCATTTGTATGGATATACCAATAACAATATTAGCAGATCCAGGTAGTCTTCGACTCATAATCACAATTGAGCCCACAATTTCCATTGCTAAGAAAGGCAGTTGTTGAGTTTTGTCCTATTTTATAACTTTTTTGCCACAGTTGTTAAGCGAATCACTGCCACTTTAAGTGAATCTTGTGGTCCTTAAGCAAATTTGGCCTCCCCCATTGAATTAGCTTATCAGAAGCCAGCTGGAAAGATTACCGATGGTGATCACATGACCCTGGGACACGGCAACTGTCATAAACACATGCCAGTCGCCAAGCACTTGAATTTTGATCACGTGATCACGGGGATGCTGCAGCTATTGTAAGTATGAAACCAGCCATAAATCACTTATATCAGTGTTGTCGTAACTTCAAATGGTCATTAAACGAATGGTTGTAAGTTGGACTACCTTTATCTAAACCAGGGGTGTTAAACTGCTAGCCCGCAGGCCGGATACATCATGGCAAAATTGCGCCCACCCCATTGCCGGCAATGGGAAAAAATTGCGATACATTGCGACACATCACATGACATTGCGAGTTTGACACCCTGGCTCTAAACCAGTGTACTTTGTTCACTCTCTTTTCAGTTTCAGTTTCATAGAACAGAATAAACGAATGGGAGAAAAATCTATATGATAACGCTTTGCCCTTTACATTTTGTTTAAAAAACAACAGCAATAATGAAGCTTGCTGACTCATGCTTCATCCTAAAGGCAGTTCATAAATATTACAATATGATGTATGAGTCTGTCTCCTTTGCACATGCTTTTGGCTAAAACAGGGTGTTAAAATACATGTCCAGTAAAATGATAAATATAAAAACACCTGTTTTAATTAAAACTTTTTAAATTTCTCAAATTTCTTTGCTCATCTGCAAGAATAAAGTGTGTATGACTTCATACTTTATTCAAGAATTCAGTGTCTTTCCACATTATTGCTTATTAAAAATATGACTCACTGCATCATAAAGTATGATCAGCTCCATTAAATTTTAAAATACTAGGAAGACTCTGTTTTAAGTCATACTGTATTTTGTTCTAATTTGCTCCCCCAAATAAATATTTATAGAGTTGCAGACTAGTTACTTAGAAAAATAAAAGTTGATGTTTAATTGTTGCTTTTAGTATCTTTGTGGAAGGAGAACCTTTAGAAAAGCCACTTTTGTAAGAAGTGGAATATAAAAATAAATAAAATGGAGTGCATCTTATGGAGTAGTGGAGTAGCTCAAAATATAGTCTTGAATAAAATATACATGAATGCTGGATCAGTCATGTAGTGTCACAAGAATCTCATCATCCATTTTTAGAATCCTTTTTAAAGAAAAACCTGTAGAGCTGCTGACAGCTTTGAAGATACAAGTAGTCCTTGACTTATGATCATCAATGAGCCCGGAATTATAAGTTGTAAGTTATGGTGATTGTTAAGTGAGTCACTAAGTGACTGCACCCAATTTTACAACCTTTTTTTGTGTTGCAGTTGTTAAGTGAATGCTGTGATTGTTAAATGAACCTGGAAGCAAATGCTATTCATAAATTCACAGTCCTCTTACTGCAGGTTGCTGCAAATGGCCGTAAATGCGAGCTGGTTGCAAAATGGCCAAAATGTGAGCACATGACTGCAAGGATATAGCGATGGGATTGTTGGAACTTCGAAACAGAGTCATAACTACTGTAGCTCTGAGGATAACTTTGAACGGTTGCTAAGTGACTGGTCATAAGTTGAAGACTATCTGTAATACTGACTTAAATAGCTTCATTCTTAATTTGACAGAGGCCCTTCAATAACTAGAGTGAAGTAGCAAAAATTAGAGAAGGAGTGAAAGGGAACATGGAAGGCTTTGAAAGCCAATTGTTAGAATATCTCATTGTCTGCTCCTAAAATTTGACTCTATGCAATTCATGATATGTAATGTAAGGACAGTTCAGGTGTCTTTGTGCATGGGATTACTCATCAGAAGAGAGTCTTGTGGGAAATTATTTGGGATTTATTACATAGTTTGTGTTCCAAGAGTGGCTTTAGAAACTACCTACGCAGCCTAAGTTCATTGCATTTGGTGGAACTGCAATAAGGTAAAATGCTGTGATGAATTATGCCATGTCATTTTGAAAAGGAGGCATCAAGAACTTCCTTGAGCTCAACTCATAGTAGTGGGACAGAGTGAGTGTCATTTATAAGCTTCATCCTATGAAATCCTTTACTTTTGAACATCCCTTCCGACAATCTCCTAAAAAGTGGTCAGTACAAAAATAACATTTGAAATTCCTAGACCCCTGTAAAACAGATGTAACTTTGATTGTTGTGGGTTGCCTTGATTGGGTACGTAATATGGTGATAAGCTAAGCCATTTTCTGTCCTGGTTTGTTTTGAAGCTGTTATGTGTGATACCCTAGTTCAGGGGTAGGCAACCTTGGCTCTTTTATGACTCGTGGACTTCAACTCCCAGAATTCCTGAGCCAGGAATTCTGGGAGTTGAAGTCCACGAGTCATAAAAGAGCCAAGGTTGCCTACCCCTGTCTTAGTTCAAAGCAGATTGTAAATACGAGTAATTAATAGGATTTAAAAAAAAGTTTTAATCCTGATTCATACAAAGGCTAACACAATTCATATTTAGACAAGCACTGTGATCAAGCCAATAACTTGTGTGTGATTAGTGTGCACAGAATGTTCTAAATATCCCAAATTATCATAATAAATATCCAATTATGTATGGCTAAATACTGTCAGTTTTTGCCTTTATCCATATTTCTATCCATGGGACTAGTTTCACATTCCATGCAGTTTCCATTTTATTGTATTTCTATTCTGCTGTTGGATTCATTTACTGAAGGGGGATGAAGAGTTAAATCTTTTAAGATAATTATGGATTTTTACATATGGT